GATATCTGCAATAAAATGTTTTCAATTGATATTTGCTGACATATTTAAGAAAATTTAAAACTTATAATTATCACATTACTTTTCTTAAGGTGTGAATTCTATTTCAATATTTTATAATTAACACTCGATTTTCAAGTGAAGTGTAAATTATATTTGAAAATAGATTTTCACTTAAATATTGATGAGTTCTGGTTTACAAGAGAGTGAGTTCAAAGAGAGTTTTTGATAAGTTTGATAATAAGAAGCCATGCTTAGATTTAAAGGTTGGTGATTTTGTAAATTTAGGAACATTTCACCAAACAAACAAAAATATTCCTTGACAGCTGTATCGATACTGGGGTATTAATAGTATATTGGGTTAGTTTGAAATTTCTTTTGTTATAAGAATTCCATCATCTAAGAATATTGTACATAATATTGTTCAAGATCAAAACTATTTGGAAGCCACTGTGTAAAGAAAAATTTAAGAATCTCCTTTTGCTTAGTAAATGTGTGTGGAGTACAGTTGCAGTCTGAATTCAGAAGAATAGAAGAGGGTAATCCATTAAATTACATGTAAGGCAGCTTTTAATCTGTACATGCATATATGTAGGTTTCTGAAATCTTTTCCATTTATAATTCTCAACTATGCTCAAACAATGCACAGCAAAAAGTGGTGGTTAGATCTTTGACACTTGTGGCATAACTACTGTACTAGAAATGGAAACATAGCTTATAATGTTTCTGCTACTTGGCTACAGTTAGCTGAGACATCATAGGTATTTTCAAATGATGTTTGCACTCGGTGATTTCAAAGCAAGGTTTACATATGATTGTCAATTGCGTTATACACTTTTCTCAAAACATTTTTATATCATTATAAGTTGTACATGTACATGTGTTCTCATTCTTAGTGTGTAACCCCTAATGAGACATTGTTTTAGAAAAAAATTATATTTGATAAGGTTACCTTTGCTTTAATAACCCCCCAACCCCAACCCTCTGGAAATTCCAGTTAAGCTCCATACATTCCGACCTATAATTTTTTTATTTTCAGGACATGCCAGTATCGTCTAGGATTTCCTATGACTTTCCATGGCAAATTTATAGTTAATAAGTACTTCTACTTAATATCCTATATTCGCAGTCAGCTAATTATGTCCGCTGTCATTTTCTTTACAAGTAACAAATTTTTTTAAAATAGATCATCCTTATAACCAGCAAACAGTGACATGTACAAGAAAAGTGATTATATCAATCTTGGAGCCTTCAGTCCAAAACTGCAAATAGATCTCTCTCTTTCCACGATAGCTGGCATTTCTGTGAAAATGAATATTTAGACCCCATAAATTTAATGTAGTTCTTTCATTAATTCTTTCAGATTCTCGTCCTCTTCACAGAGGCTCTCCCATGGCTTCTCCGCACAGGAATTCCCCTGTGTCCTTTTCACATAGTGGGCATAGCACTGACAGCGACAGCAGCATTGCCAGCGCACAATATCTTTTCACTGATGTCGCTCACAGCAAGGACCTGGTAACTGCCCTCAGGTTTTTACGTCGAGATGAAGACTTGTGTGACATCGTGTTGAGAGTTGGCAGTACTAGTATTTCAGCTCACAAAGTTGTTTTGGCTGCAAGTAGTCCATACTTTAAAGCTATGTTTGCTGGTAAGTGCAGTCAAAGCTCTATTAATGGACTGTCCTGTGGGCAGATACCTACAATGTAATTGTAGGAATACACTTTCAATGTAATCTAGTCTCGGCCATATATAAATTTCACTGCCTTTTAATCTTCCATAAGCAGACACTTTTTGAGGTTTCAAGAGTAAATGGTCTTAAGGGAGCTACTTCATGGTTTGCACATCTTGAAAAGTTTAGCCTAAATTTTTCAAGTTTGTTGTTTGTAGTCTGTGTCAATCTTCTCCTTCCTTAACTATCCTTGTTCCTTTATGGTTTATTATTATTTCTCTGGTGTTTTTCTTGATCTTAGTAAACTATTATTTTCAGGTTTCCTTCAATTTACATGCAAAGGTAATTTTGTACTTGGCAAAAATAACTCGAAATACCGTGACTGAACCCCTTAGAGTGTCTACTTGTGCTGAGTATTTTAGCTACAGTGTATATGTACCCCTGGGATGGGCTGCCAGTCCATAACTGGATTGTCTCTTGCAGGACAGAAACAAAATTGTTATGGGCAAGTTCGTACTATGTGATGTTCAAGTGCAAAACATCATTGTCACTAGCCCCAGGGCAAGGATTCAATTTCATCTCTCACAGTGCTCTGATTTGAATTCCTTCAAAAATTTTCCCAAAAAATTAAACTTGCTCAAAGGGCAAGCAATGGACAGAATATACTAGCTGAACTGAAAAATCCACTGACCCAGGCTATCTTTTGGACAGGACTTTGTTTGCACACTGCATCCAATGGTTCCTATTTATACCCCTGAGACACACTGTAATTGCACTAACCAGGACTTGAATCCAGACCACTTGATCCAGAGTCCACCGTGCTATAAATTGCAACCACTATTAAATTAAATTAATTTTTAATTAACAGGGGGCCTCTCAGAGAGTCGGCAGAGCACTGTGACATTACAAGAACTTGACGAACGTGCAATGGAAACCATGGTAGATTTTTTCTATAGTGGTGAAATTGAGATTTCAGAGAACAATGTTCAGGACCTTCTACCAGTGACCTGTGTTCTGCAAGTGCAATCTGTGCAAGAGGCTTGTTGTGAGTTCCTGAAAAGGCAACTTAGCTCTGAGAACTGCCTTGGTAAGTTAATTAGCAACACTTGTGCAGTGTACGCAATGTATCTAACTTTTCTTGCAAGTTTATAGTGATTGAGAAGAAGTTGGTAGACACTATCAATTACAATCAGAATGTTCAGTGTTGATAATAAGATATCTCCCAGGATAATAATTATTGTTAGTAGTTATTACTTATCCAGAAGCAAGTAAAGTTGTGTGCATGTGTAGCCCACATTAGGGAGCTTATAAGTAATAACAATGGCAACGCAGAGGAATATGTCCAGCAAAAAGGTGAATTCATTTTATTGCATTTTGTCTTTGAATCTTGCAATTATTTTAGTACTACAGTACTGTAGATCTGTTCTGTGTGCCTATCAGTCTTGAAACGTGCTAAAGCTAAAATTGCAACAACAATTTTCTACTCCAATAGGAAATACAAAAAATTAGCTGTGGTCTTTCATGTTCTTTAAAATACCCAGAACATTGTCATTTCATGTTGTTGGTTGCAGGGGATGGTGAAGAAATGTACAAAGGTTTATAATACATGTGCACAGCTATTGTTCTGCTCATTAAACCTTTTGTTTCATGACATTCTTGTTGTTGTTGCTCTTCTGGCTTGCTTATTTATAAGCTCCCTTAATTTACTGTATATGAACAAGAGAATCGCCTCAGTGCTCATGCACTC